GGTACTTAAAGAGAAATATTATGAGAATATATGTTAAAGAAATTCATTAAATTTAAAAAATAGAAGAAAAAAAGCCACAAACTCTTCTTTGAGTAAAATTTACCACGCTTGTGATTTAAGTGGTTGAAAAACTCATTAATTTAATATTCAGAAATGACAAATAAGAAAGTGAATTGATCTAGTTATTTGCTTCAACGACTTGATTTTCATATTCTAATTCGAAAAAAAATAAAAAAGTTAGGTGAAATTAGATTGTGATTGAAAATGGCTATATAAATTAACATGAACTATGATCACAATCATAAAACGTAATAGTAATGAAATTTTGTTTCAGAAACTTATTAATATAATAATAATATTTGAATTGGATTAAAATTTAATTACTTAAATCAATAAAATAACTAATGAGTAGAACCATATAAGCAGTGGTAACCGTTGATTAAAAGTATAAAAAATAAAAAATAAAAAATAAAATTTATTTATTTTCTTAAACTTTTGAGAAAAATATTGATTTGGTAGAAATTAAATGAATGTAACCCAACTTTACAATAAAATTCTATCGTAATATAAATTATGTTTGAGCTGTGAGGAAATTTTTTTGGTTTTGTGACAGAAATATTGTGACTAAAATTTTAACAAATTTGTCACAAAAAGTCTAAGAATCCATCACTAATATATATATGCATTTGTGATGAAGTTTAAATTATTGATCAAAACTTATCACTCACATTAACCTATAAAATTTTACCTCATTAACTATCATTTTCTTGTGAAATTAAAATATATCAGCTTTTGAACAGAAGATGCCAAACGTAGTAATTATTTTGTCAAATGATTTGAGACTAAATTAACTAATGATAACTAGAAGCGGAAGCAAAAGTTTGTATCTCTCACATCCGACACTACAACGTGGATGAAATGAAAGCTGACACGTGGATATTAAACATCTCGTACGGTGCAAAGTACCCAATCTGACTATGTGAATTGGTTTGCATTGAGATCCCAAATGACAGTTGTTTTTTGTCCTTCTGATTTTCCACCTTTATTTAATTCAATTTCTGTACAAAAACCCATTCTGCTTTGGTTTTCTTTTGGGGGGGTGGTGCTGGGTTTGACTTTTGGACAAAACAGAGGCTGGGTTTTGGGGACCAACAGTATTGTAGTAGTGATATATTTTACAGGTCACAAATCTTGGATTCCCAGATCTTTGATTCATAGGAAGGAAAAGCAGAATCTATATGTGTTGGCACCTGGATTGTGCTCAATTTTCAATCACCTATTTAGGGAGACATGGACATTTTTTTTTAGGATATATTCAATTTTTATCCTTTGATTTAAATTATGAGTTTACATCATTTAATTTATTTTATTAATAAAATAATATTATTTAATTTACTGATAATATATAAAATTTATATACAATGTATCAAATATTTAAATATAAATCCTTTTATTTTAATGCTTTTAGTTTCCTTTTTTTATATTTAAGTATAATAGAAATTATGATCATAATCAAATATTGCATTTATACATAAAAAAATTATTGAATAATTAATAATAAATTAAAATATAATTAAATAAATTTAACATAAAACTAAACTAAATTCACATATGATAATACTTAAACCTTATTAGTACCTCAAGATTTTAAGATTTTTTTCCTCGCCAATAAACTTATTCCTCATTGACCTTCATTCCCACTGTTGATCCCAAATACACATGCATAGATGTGTGTAACTAAAGATTTTTACTACTTTTCTAAGATTACTATACAACAGAGCACATATAAAAAAAATATTACAAAAATTTGCAACTATAAAACAAAATTTTAAAAGAATTACATATTAATCAAATTATCAATTATAATCCAACAAATTTTAAAATACATTCATTGGAAAAAATTTGATAAAAAATAAAACAAATAAAAAAATATAAAATTTTACTAAACCCCGGCCTACAAGTAAAAAATAATCAGCATTGGAAAGAATACGAAAAAGGAAACAACCTTAAAACTGTAAATTTAGAGGAATGGTTTTGTGAATGTGTAAGTCATGATTATTGGTTTGGCCATTAGCAAAATCAAAATTGTAAATGCATTGCAATTAATTAAATGGGTACTAGTAATAGTAAAAAATATTAAATTAATTAATCATGTAGTTACTTTTGCTTTATAGTGTATGCTACTTTCCGACACAAATATTTTTAATACTCTATCCCTTTGGTTTTAGGTCTTGGATTTTTGGGCTACGTGCATGTGCTCGTATATAAATATGCACTTAATTTGTTAATGATTAAGTACATGCCTAATCTTTTTCATAGAAAAAGTAGATGCCTAATTTTGGATTTAAGTTTATCATATTCATATTTTTAAAAGTTATGAGTTTGAGAGTATTTAAATTTATAATATTTTTAAGCGAATTAAACAAATAGGGATTGGAAAATTAAAGTTAGATTAAAAATAGTTTTTTTATTTGTTGGCCAATGGCCATCATGAAGCGCAAAGTTTCATTGATGACAATTTGTTCATGCACATAATTTCCATAACATGACGCGACGGTGCCCATTCCATGTGAAAACACTACTATATATATATATATATATATATATATATATATATATATATATATATATATATATATATACACACACATATTGTTGCAATCTTTAGAGAGCAAGAAATGTTATAAATGCAAGTGGATTTGATTAATCTTAAATATCAATTAATGTTTTTGTAGGTTGTTTATTATATCTTTGTCAATAAATATTGTTGCCTAAATTAGTTGTATGAATAAAACGGAAGAAAAATCATGAGAATATTCTAATATATTTTAAATTACCATTTCTTTTATGAAAAAAAAATCATCTAATCAATAGTTTTTAAATTTCACAGATATGATTAACAAGATGATACGTCTTTTTATAATATATTGAAAAAAACTAATTAAAAAGAATGAATCGTATAATAGTTTCTTAACTTCATTTATCAAGTTAAAAAAAACGAAAACAAACTCTTATATGTTATAATTTCATCCACTAATATTTTTATCCAAAATTTTAATATAAATATGAGGAGGGATAAATTTATGCAGTGTAAAATTTTTAAAAATTTAAAATTTTTAAATAATTTATTTCAGTAAATTTAATAAATGAGATTAAATAATTTTTTTCTACTTTTACTTGTTTTTCTTATTACTTAGATCTATTAAAATTAAAATTTTTAAAAATGAATAATTTTTTTAAAACTTTTATATTGTATAAATTGATCTCTCTGTTATAAATACATACACATATACACACATACATACATATATATATATTAAATTTATATGCGATTGTCATATTACAAATTTAGCTCAAAAGCAATTTATGCAAAAATAAAACAATTAAAGTTCCAGGTATTTGTTACTTTTGTTAGTATTTTTTATTTTTATTTTCTATTGTTTATTTTTCAAAAAACTAAATAATACCTTTAAAAAATTGTATTTTAATTTAATTTTACAATAAAATGAAAAAATATGATTTTTCTTTTTTAGGAAATTTTATCTTTTAATTGATTTTTTTATTGTAAAAACTTAGTAATATTTAAGCAAAAATTATCTTAACTAGTATATTTTTTTTAATATTTAGTATTGCTATCATCATTATTACGTTTTCAAGTTTTCGGTATGTGCTAAGAAATTATATATAAGCATTTCCATAATCCATGAAAGACAATAATTGAATATATATATATATATATTTATATGAAGGGTTGTGAAGTGGGACAATTGAAAAGAAAAGTAATGAAAAGCCACCACATTTTGAGCTTTTGGTGGGGGTATGTGGCAGTGTATAGAGCATAAATTGTCTCAAGTTCAAAATACATGCACAATCCTCCATGTTTAAGCACAACAAATTTTAGCATATTTAATTAATATATAGTTTTCATGGACAGATAATATTTGTATGTATTTAGATAATTGTCACGGGACGCTTCATTGTTTCTTGCATGAGATTGAATCAAACAATATTATTATAATAATAATAATAATAACAGACATAATTTTAAGTGACTTTTTTTTTTTAACCCTCCAAAGCCCTCTCTTTGATAAAGGGCTTTGTAAGTCAACTTGTAGGTCATTCCCGAAGAATGCATGGAAGTTTCAATTACTTAATTTAAGCTTTCGGTTTCATTTTCATTGAAACAATACCCATTCAAATAATTCACGACAAAACTAATCGTCAATATTTAGTAACTTTTTAATTTTCAACTCATATTCATCCAAAATACTACACGTGTGCAAATACATCATCATCCAATTTTTCATTTTCATTGTATACATCATCTATATTCTAATTAAATCAAACTTTTTTTTAAAAAATAAACTTCATACATTTAAATATGATATAATGAATTGATATAAAAATAATATAATTTAAAATTTTAACAAACATATATAATTTTGATAAAATAAAAATATATATTTTATATTTAATATATCAATACGAATTATGAAATAATTAATGTCATATTTTATATATATTTAATATAAATACATAATTATCATATTTAATATTTTACAAGTATTAATTCTGATTCTAGTCCAGGTAAACAGGTTATCAAGAAAAAAAAAAAAACAGTCCAACAAGCTAACTCCAAAGTCGAAGGAAAGTAAGTTGCCATGGTAGTTTCTCTCGGCAAAACAAAGTCGATTAATTTTTAAAATTGTAAGCAAAAGCGTGGGGAAGAAGCTACGTTTTTTACAAGTTGGACTTGGATGGTATGGCTAGAATGACATCAGCGGTGGCGTTTATGATCAAGTCAAATCTTGATCCCCCTTTTCGGTTTGACACAAGAATGACTTCATCTGAAAATGAACTATATTTCAGAACAACAACTTCCACGAAAAATATTTTATATTTTTTACTTGAATAATAATAAAACATCAAATGCACAATTTCATTGTACTTTCTGTAGTTCAAAATTTTAGCTTCAAAGTGTAAAATAAAAAAAAAACCTCCAGCAAGTAGTCCAATCCACGTGGTTGGAAAAACGCACGACGCTGTTTCGGTTCTTTAAATCTCCAAGTTATTGTCTCTGTCTGTGTCATACATGTATATATAATACAAGCAATCCGAGGTCGAAGTTGCAATGGTGGTTTCGTTTTTGCATTGAGACTTCAAAGTGTTTGTATTCCGAGACAAACAGAGAGAAAGAGAAGGAAAATTGAAATAAAAATCCAACACCCAACAGAGAAAAAACTCAACAATCCTCCTCCTGCCCGTTTAACCCAACACCCTACTATTGTTTTTTTTCCTTTCCTTCCCATTTTTATACAATTTAAGGTAACGTTTTTCTCTATTTCCTACTGCTTTCTTGCCTAATGTTGGTCTGTTATATCTATTTTTCTTTTGGTTTTCATGAAAGGGGTGTTATTAGTTTGTTGTTCTTTGATCATGATTCTATGTAATGTGCTGTTTGTTTGTTAAGTGGGGTTCTGGGGATTGCTTTTATTTGATGGTTTTGGCAGATCCAGAATCAAGTATTCAAGGATGTTGATAAAGGGTTCTTTATTTGGTTTTAGATTGAATGAAATGAGGTTTTCATTTTTAAAAGTTTTTTTATCTCATTGCTAACGAGTACATGATTGCGACGGCTACTTTGCTTCTCTGATTATGCCTACCATTTATCAGATAATGCGAAGAACAGAAAATAAACTGCTTTTGATTATATTAAGGTGGAAGATAAAGAAACTTTTTTTTTTTTTTTTGAGTTTTTTCTTTATGGGTTATCTTTAACATTTGTTCTGGTTTGTGATAAATGCTTACCCATTTTATTTGTAACATGAATCTTGCTGTATTTTGTAACATTGATAAATTTAGCATATAAAACGCCTAACTGAATTCAGTTTGTTTCACAGAAATCGGTGCCCCTTACTGTCGGATGGGTGTTGCTTTTTCCTGCCCATTTGCTAAATGCAGTGATGTGGAAAATGCCTTGGAATCTATCACTGTCAAATCCATTAGTTTTGGAGATGATGGAGTCAAAACACCTGTTAGATCTATCAGTTTCAAAAGTTTAGATTCAGAGCCTACGATATTAAAATCAGTAGGTTTTGGAAAGATGATATTGGAGGGATCTGTTAGCTTTAAAGGGAGAGATTTGGAGAAAATGCTTTCATCAGAAAAAGCAGAGAATTATCCCATTAAGGCTGACAGTTTAAGGAGCAAAGAAATGGATATTCAATCCCCACAACCAGATACTTTAATAGACACTCCAAAACTGTCATCAGTTTTAGATCCTAGCAATCCACAACACGAGGCAGCAATAAGATTGCAAAAAGTGTACAAGAGCTTTCGAACGAGGAGAAAGCTGGCAGATTGTGCAGTTCTTGTTGAGCAGAGCTGGTGTGTATTATATTTGTATGTTCTATATTATCCTCCTATACAGAAGGTTTTTTTTTCTAATGCTATTATTTGTTGTAATGTAGGTGGAAGCTCTTAGATTTTGCTGAACTCAAGAGGAGCTCTATATCATTCTTTGATATGGATAAACATGAGACTGCAATTTCACGTTGGTCAAGGGCAAGAACTAGAGCTGCCAAGGTTGGAAAAGGTTTATCAAAGAATGATAAAGCTCAAAAGCTTGCTTTGCAACACTGGCTTGAGGCAGTAAGTCAATCTCAGTAAAAGTGCTTAGTTTACCGTTGTTCTTCATTATCTGTTACTGATTCTAGTTTCACGTGTTATTCAGATTGACCCAAGGCATCGCTATGGACACAATTTACACTTTTATTATAATCAGTGGCTCCATTCTCAGAGTCAAGAACCCTTCTTTTACTGGTAATTTTCTTTAACTGAGTTTTTTGGTTCATTATTAAGACATTTTGATACTAGTTCATGAAATTGAAACTGAGAATGGATATACTTGTTTCTAAAATGCAGGCTGGATATTGGAGAAGGGAAAGAAATAAATATAGAAAAATGTCCTAGATCAAAGCTTCTACAGCAGTGCATCAAGTATCTCGGTCCGGTGGGTCTTTATTTCTTTTGTTCATCTAACTTTATTTGGATTTATCTTCAAAATGTTACTGAAACAATTATCCACTGTACAGATGGAAAGGAAGCACTATGAAGTTATTGTGGTAGATGGGAAGTTCATATACAAGCAAACAGGGAAGCTTCTCCATACTACTGGAGAAACTGGTGATGCTAAGTCAATTTTTGTCCTTAGCACATCAAAGATCTTGTATGTTGGCATAAAGAGGAAGGGAACATTTCAACATTCTAGCTTTTTGGCTGGAGGTGCCACTATTGCTGCTGGAAGATTAGTTGTTGATAGCGGTGTCCTTAAGGTATAGCTATGCTTAATATCTTTTAAAACCTTTTTTTTTTTTTTTTTGTTTTTTAACGTTTAGTACTCTTTATGTTCTGAGACAGTCTCTTAACAATAATTACTATTACTCTGTCCAACAGGCAGTTTGGGCTCACAGTGGTCATTATCGTCCTACAGAAGAAAATTTTAATGACTTCATTTCTTTTCTAAGGGAGAACAACGTGGATCTTACAGATGTCAAGGTAAGGAAAAAATTTTTTAAAAAATGTGTTATATGCTTTGAGTATATTTTTTGCAAACTAAAAAGAATATGCTGACAATGCTTCTTGCTACATTCAGATGACTCCAGTGGGTGAGGAAGGAAGCTTGGTTAGTAAGCAAAGAAGCAGTAACCATCTTAGATGCAACTCATCTGAAGAGGACTTGAGCTTAGAGGCCGAAGAGATCATTGTCAAAGACTCGATCAAAGAGGTAGTTGATTCAAGGGAACAAGAAACTAGTGCAGCCCTTGAATGTCCCAAGTCAAGGAGGCTTCTCAACCTTAGCAGAAAATTGACAAATCTTGAAATACCAAAAAGAACGGAATTGTTTGAGATGTCAAATGGTGACCATAGGCCTGTTGTGCCAAGTTGCGATGACAATTTGATGGATTCTCCTTTGGAGGATGGTTATGAGTCAGAAGAGGAAGCCATTGCTTCAGAACAGGATTCAATGGTTCCAGAAGAAAAGACTGATGAAAATCAAGTAGATAATGAGGTCGAAGACATTCCCAAAGAATCGATTCTTCAAAGGTTTAACTCTCAAAAAGGAATGACCTCGTATCAATTAGGGAAGCAGTTGTCATGCAAGTGGACTACAGGAGCAGGACCCCGGATTGGTTGTATGAGGGACTACCCCTCGGAACTTCAATTCCGGGCTTTGGAGCAGGTGAACTTATCTCCAAGAAGTGCTAGCCGCTCAAAATCATACTTTTCTCCTAGGTCTGCTAGTAGGCTGAGTCCAACAGTTTCCACACAAACAGGTGCTAGGGAAGAAATGAGAACTGTAAGTTTAACTGCGCTCAAGAAGGAAAACTTATTGCAGAGAAGCATCCATATCAGATTGCAGTCGTCCCCATTATTAAGAGAAGTTGTTGCTAACATACCATAGTTAAACTCAACGGAGTACATTCCCAGTTAGTTCATTCTTTTTAGTGTGCATAGAAAAGATGATATTGGAATTCTTTATCATTCTTTTCAATACTAGATCCTCATGTACACATTTTTTGATTTGTTCATCTTGTTGTTGTATCATAAGATGACATGACAATTGTAGGAAAAATGAACAGAAAGGAAAAGAATTTACTTTTTTGGCAAATTAGATTTACAATTGTAAGTTTGAATGGAAGTTTTCTTTAAATTTCAAAACCTTTCTCCCTTTTACCCCTTTTCCCATCTTAGTGAAAAATGAAAAGAAAAAAAGAGCAAAGTGGTAGCAGTTATGGCCAACTGTCGCATGGTTCGTTGAAATGGTAGACTTTTAGTTTCAATGTTGAAGGAATCCTGGTAAACTCAAGCGTAAAAAAGAAAGTGGCAGCATCTTTTGTATGACCCTTAATGAATTAGGATGCCCTCCAGGTTCCAAGGAAAGGATTCCTTCCAAACTAGACAATTTTAAATTTGAAGTATCCATCAAAATATATTGGTTACAGAGAAAATCTCACATTAAGTTGAGAGAAACAAAATTCTCTATTGCATGGTTTCAAAGTTAAACATGGTATATCATTTTGTCGCGGCTGTTACGTTTAATGTTGCTGCGATGATGAAGCCTGAAGGTGAAGTTGGTGCATCCAGCGGCCAGGTCTTTCAATTGCTGAAGCAGAGGCAGCCTCTCTCTCTCTCTCTCTCTCTCTCTCTCTCTCTCTCTCTATATATATATATATATATATATATATATTGTTAATGAATGCCGATTCCGAAGCTTTATCATTCAAGGTGATGCCGAGGAAGTCATTGTTTCTGTTAATAATAGCAATGAAATTCAAGTTATCATTGAAAAGTTATTAATATTGTAAATTAACTTTAAATCAATCTTCTATTCCTTAATACGAGTCCTATTCTCTTGACAAGATTTCTCCTTCTAAAAGTTTTGTGGCTCGTAATTTGCTTCTGCTTCCAACGTTAATGGATCTATCAACTTGTGTTCTTTTCTTTTTTTCTTCAATCTTGTGTACCATAGACCGGTCGCTGCATCGGAGTGATTGTTTTGGTTCAACCAACTTTTTCCATTAATGAAACAAAAAACATATCATAACTAAAATCGGGTTAAATTAAGTTGGACTTCATTGTTTGACTAAAATAATTAGAATCACAAATAGAAGAAACTGTTTAAAGGCCCAAACTCTATTTAAGACTGCTCTGCCGCCCCATCTTTACCAACTTATTAATCCAATGTATAAATAATAACTTGAGAGAACAGAAAAAAAACAGATTCGCAAACACTGCTAGCATAGTGCTCGGCCAATTTTTTCCCATCTTTTTGTAAAGATTCTTATTCCTGTAGACTAATGTTAGAGGTTAGAAATTTGTACAACTGTTAGTTGCTACAACTAAGCTTGATAATTTTTTTGGTGTTTTCCGCACATAATTACCCAAGAATTGCAAAATTTTGTTTTGCTGTTTGCTTTCTTGAATGTGTAATTACTTGTCAACTTGATTCTACGGTTCTTGGGAGTTGTAAAATTTTAAAATTACAATGCATAATATATGTTGGATACATGATCACTTCTCAACACGATTGCCATTACCACAATGGGAAAATTGTTAGTGTAAGCCCTATGACCAATCAGATTGGTTATGGATACATGTCATTTGAACATTACTTTTATTAATTAAGGTATTCTTCATCTATAAATTTGTATATAATTACCATTACATATTAAATAAAATTTGTGGAATAAGATAAGTTTTGCAAAAAGAATTACATGAAAGTTGTAATCAGAGGCGGAGGCTCATGGGGCTTTGTGGGGGTTCAAGCTCTCGTTGAGACAAAAATATGTTCTAAAATGATATGTATTTTAAATAAAATTCAAGAAGTTTTTATTGATTCAGTTTATTTATAGTTGAGACTACCACTGATTGTCCAGACAGTATTTTCATGAATAAACATTTTGAATACTTATTTGCATGATAGAATAAAAAATTAATGATTGAATGATAACTTAATTGTAAATACTGAAAAAAAAAAGTGTTCCAAAGTATTGAGAACAAAGTTATTATACAACGTTTTCAAAATGTGAAATTATATCAAAGACAATTGTAAAGTTTTTAACAATTATAACTGGATATAAAAGTTTTAGTATTTTAGTACTATAATGTTGTTATTGTTGTTTTTTTTTTTTTTTTAATATAATTTAGTATATTTGAACTAAACTGCTAGTAAGTAAAATTTCTAGCTCCAATGAGTATAATTATGAGATACTTAGTTGTATGAAAGCCTTATTTCTAAATTGGTTCATAGTCAATGTTTTAACAAGAAATGTATATTGATAGAAGTTGTTGAGACTGATAAATGTTTATACTCTTACTTATGAAGTAAATAACTAATCTTATATGTTGAAGTACGAATATACTTGAGTTAAACATGTAAGTTCTTAGTCCTAGAACAAGTACATTAAATATAACCCAATATAAGAATGCTATTTGGTAATCACTTAGTCCATGAGAATATTTTCATGTGATAAATGTATAAGTAATCTTTTGACTTGATATCACAATTTTGTTTGCATGACAAGTGTTATACTTAGATATCATCTTATATAGTCCTAGCCAAGGATGCTTAATTGGGTGTAAGTTGGTTATAATATGAATTATATGGAGATAGAAAAGTGATCAAGATAAAATCATTTCCTTAAAGTGATCAAGTGAATACCTTATTATTATTAGGACGAATTAACTCATGAAATCTCTTGACAAAATGGAATGAAGTTTTGAATATGTTCAAAGTTTATTTGAAAAGTTAATAACCGCAGGATTCAAAAATTACTATGATTGTATGAATATAAAGAAACACTAATTGCTTTAACTCTGCTAAGATATAATAATGAAATGATTGAATTATTTTGAGCAACAATACATGGATAGGTTAGTCAAATCATTTTTGCTTTTCTTAATATTTGGATAATCGTGGCATACTATTAGATATCAATGTTGATTTATAAATATGAATTGCTTAATTAAAGAATTAATTATGAATGTAAAGATTCATATGATCCTAATTAAATAAGGATTACAAAATTCATATTTATTACCTTTATATTAAGAATCAAATAAATATCACACAATAAAAATAATTAAATGAGAAATTAAAATACAAAAATTAAGTTAGAGTTGATCGAAATAAAGTTTGAAACTTCGAGAACTTAATTGAATAATTTTAATAGTTCAAATTATCAATTTATAAATTAACAAAACCTAAAGGGTTAATTTATAAATCAATAAAATCTAACCTTTTTCGAAATAGGGGTTGCTAATTTTTTTTTGTTAAGTCAGGAAACTTTTTATTAAAGAATAAAAGCATAGTATAAAGCTATGATATAGCCTGAATGTGAGTTACCATCATCAGAACAAATTAAAAAAATAATCCAAAACCAGGTAGACACTAAAAAATCCCTATACCTATAAAAAAGTTACCTTTTACCATAAGACAATAAATAATTCTTTTAGATCCATTCCATCTATAGCCCAAGCCTTTGCCATCCAACTATCACAGAAATATGCACCTTTGAAGTTTATTGCCTTGTTTATAACATATGACTAAAATTACTTGAAAAGTAGATTGAAAATTACTTGAAAAACATATTGTGAATGCGTCGCAACCTAGTGAAATTCCTAACCAATCGATCGTTACAACCACTAACAGCCATGTTTTGGTAAAGTCCATAACATCTATCTCATTTGCAACACTACTATTTCCCAACACCAATCTCAATAATTAACGAACTAAACACATGAATATAATTCACAAATTTTAGAGGCTTAACTTTCACTTTTTCACCCATTTATCAGCATAATATGGATTTCATAAGCACATTCTCACCATCTTCTCGCATTTAATATCAAAGATGGATTCCAAATCCACGCTAAAACGTCCTTCCCTATTTATTCTCAAACATTAATACAAGCTAATCTCCAATAGAAACAATATGTAATCTTCAATATTATCTTCATCTAGCCAAACAAAATTTCATATAAACTCACGTGCCGATCCAATCACAATAAAAACAAATATTAAATCCCCATCCCATTCAAAGATGTTTATCAATTTCAAATCCAAGAACAACATTTACAAAATTTCCACCAATCCAACTCATATTTGTACCTTAAAAAACCTCACACCAGCAAGATGACTCCAAAACCTCAAAAAAAAAAAAAAAAAAACAAAAAATATTACAACCAAACAAGAATCCCTTGCTTTCAAACCAATAAAACATGAGATTTCAGGGTTTTGGGAATAAAAACTTCCACGATGCTCAATCCAAAATTCCATTCCTTTGTCCAGATATGATACACAAATTAAAACCAAGAAAAAAAATAGTTTGGGAGCATAACTTTTGAAGGGTTTGCATAAAACCATCGATTAACCAAAATAGAGCATTACACCTATTCCCAACATCCATTTACATGACTTTGACCTAATAAAATTCTTCTCCCATTTCTTCAACCTATTTTTTCTACATGACAGACCTTTTTTCTGAAACTGCTACTATCCCATTTCATTAACAAACCACACGAACACCTTCGAACTAAGAATCGAAGTAGTATAAAGAAGCTTTTTATGAATTGAAGTTGGCATAGCTCTAGTTTTCACTAATTAAAGAACCAATATTTGAGAAGGAATTCATCAGTTTTGATATTTTTTTCATTGAGAACTTACCCTTATCATCTTGCTTCCATATAATTTTATCATTCTTTGTTGGAAACTAGCAACACTTTCGCAACCCAAAGACATTGTTCGTTTAACATATGCATTTCCATCCAAACAACATCTTTTTAAAAACCCCTACCAATCTCGATGCATGAAGCTATTATTTATAGAATAATTAACTACTTTTACACACTTGTTAATAGACATAAAGAGTTTTGGGAACTTATCTTCGAAAGTTTTGTCACCACTTCATCATCTAACCAAAACCATACACTTCCTCAATCCATAATTAACCATCAACAATACTTGGCCCTAATGAATTTGTTATCACTCTATTTTGAAGCAAGTCCAACTACTTCTCGTCACATCATTGACATCTTCTTGGTGCTTGAACCATTGATATCTTCATCATACACCCCAAAAACTCTGAAGTTTGAATAGTAAAATACA